GCTGCACGCGGCCGCCCTCTGGGGCCAGAGCCCCCGCGCAGCCGTTAGCCCTGAGGGCGAAGCTGAAGTGGCGCTGCCACAAACTCCCGAGCACCCATCCCCCGAAAGCAATAAAGGTATCCACTAACTCTCCTAACACACACACACACACACACACACACACACACACACACGCCAATTGAGACAGACGGGGGTTGGGGGGAGCTTTTCCAGGCGTCGAAAGGATGCTACAATCTGAAGGAACAGCGTTACAAAGGCCGGAGGACCCAGGTGCACTTGGCTAATGGCCCCGAGGAGAGACCACAAACGGCACCGCCTACGCGGTCATGCAGATCTCGTCAATGCCAGGTGAGTTGGGCTGGGGCACAACACAGGGTGGTGAGGCCAGCTTTCAAGAGAAGCCAGAGGTCTGGACTTTTACAGCAACTTGACCAATTGTTTAAATGGTGACCGTTACATGCAGGCGCACATGCGTGCACACCCTTTCTCACACACAAACACAGTAGCACCGGGTGAACCCGCACAGGGTAGCATGTCTTTGGACCCAGTTATGACCTTTAAAGAAGAGCAGGCAGTGTTTATGGGGCAAGAACAAGGTGCCAGGAAGCAGCAGGACAGGCCTTTGAAGAAGTCGGAGTGATACCCGGAAGAACATCTAACTAAGGAATCCGAGTTTTATCACGTGGGACTTGTCGCATCACTGGAGGATTCTAAGCCTCCCTGTGATCAAATCTAGATCCAGCAAAATGGGGTTTGGATTTGAAAAAGGTAAGACTAGGGTAGAGAGCCTGTTTACTGGGGTTACTAAAATAATACCGAATTATGCCTGGCTGGTGTGGTTCAGTGGTTGAGCATCGGCCATGATGTCGCTGGTTCCATTCCTGGTCAGGGCACAGGCCCGGGTTGTGGGCTTGATCCCAGTAGGGGGCATGCAGGAGGCAGCCGATGGATGGATGTATATCATTGATGTTTCTCTCTATCCCTCTCCCTTCCCCTCTCAAAATCAATGAAAACATTAATAATAATACCGAATTACTAACATTTGGAAAGAACCAAATGAGGATTTGAAAGACGAGAGAAAGATTTGAGAGCCAGCGAGAGTAACGTTAAAAGGGCATAGGGAACAATGAGTTGCTGTGAGTGATGGGTGTCAGGGATGAGCTGGAGGTTTCAGTTTAAGTGACAGGTGTGAGGAGGTGACCTAAGCCAGGAGAGGACAGGAGAAGGAGAGGATCGTGTGAGAAGGAAACGTTTCCATCTTGAGTTGAGGGAGCTCTGGGACATGCATGTGGAGATGTCGAGTCATGAGAATAACCAGGAACATGGACCCTGTGGTCAGGCAGAACAGGGTGAAAACCCAGGCTCTGCTGGTTAGCGGGGTGACCTAGGCCTAGGGCACATAATTGATTTTGTCTAAGGTTCACTTTCCTTACCCATCAGGTTGCCATTGTCAGAGCATTTACCTCACAGGATCAGGGCATGGATTAATTGAGTTGACACTTAACACCATGCCTGGCACATGCAAGCTCTCAATAAGAGGTTGTTATTAATATTTTGATTTTGAGTCGCGGAGTTAGAGAATTAAAGCTTCTTAAATAGTTCTGTTTGACCAAGTACAGGATTGATGCCAGCACCGTGGCAGGGTGAGTCTTCAGGTGGAAGGGTCAAGTGAAGTCACTTGTAGGGAGTGGAGGCTTCAAGGAGAAACTTATTTATAGTGTTTTATTTTAAGATACTTTATAGCGAGGCTCTTCAGGCCATGTCTCAAAGGTTTCCTCATCCTGGTGCGGGTCAAGTGAGGTCTCAGTTACTTGGTAGGGATAACTGAAGAGCTGAACACAGACTTAGCTGGAACCTCCTAGAACAGAGAACATACGGTTTACAATCACTGAGGATCACATTAGGTTCATGAATCGCATTTGGATCACCTGTGGAGCTTTAAAAACTACAGATGGTGAAGTACTGCCTCTGGAAACAGGTCTTGGGTGAGATCCTGGCATCACTTGTATCTAACATACCCTCAGGATCGAGACCCATGGTTCTAGCTTCTAGAGTGCTGTGGGTCCAGGAGACACTCAGCATGCGGGTTTTGAGGGTGTAGCGACCAGTAAGTAGCCCAGGTATGGGTTTCAAGCAGATTGGTTTTGCATGATGGATGTCCTCGCAGAACCTGTGTACCCTTGGAGAAGTTGGTTAAGTTCTCTGAGACTCTATTGCTTTGTCTGAAATGGCAATAATTTTACTCTCCCCTGTGCTGTTATGTGTGCATGTGAGATGATGCCTGGGAAGCATCATTTGGTACGTTGGCACACTCACTCCTTCAAATGCTTTCTTCTCTTGACTCCTGGAACAAAGTGCCCTCTTGGTTTTCCTCCTACGTCACTGGCTTCCTCTCAGTCTCCTCGGCTGATACCTGCTTCCCTCCTCAGCTCCTAGCATGGTGTGTGCAAGGTTCGGCCTGGGTCCTCGCCACTGCTCACTTTACGCTCACTTCCTTGGTGATCTCAAGGCTTTAAATGCCATCCCAATGATGACACTTCCCAAACCT